CGCCCGGCTAATTTTTTTTTTTTTTAATTTATTGTAAATATGAGGTCTTGCCTGCCCAGGCGGGTCTTGAACCCGTGGGCTCAGGCAATCCACTCTCCTCAGTCTCCCAAAGGTGCGGGATTACAGGCTGAGCCACCGAGCCCGGCTAATTTCTTGATTTATTGTAGAGATGAGGTCTCACCAAGTTGCCCAGGCTTGTCTCGAACCCGTGGCCTCAGGCAGTCCTCTCCCCTTGCCCTCCCAAAGTGCTGGGATATAGGTGTGAGCCACTGCACCTGGCGGGATGTGAAGTTTTTATGTGCAGAGCTCAGAGAAAAAGAGTCTTCCACCAGGTTTATGGAGCCACGAGTGCTCAGGTAGCTCGCTCTGTGCTCTACCTATGAGTCTAGCTTCTACCACCCTCCTACCTTATGACCACCAGTCTGCCCACTGTGGTCTAGCCTACCTGGCCTCAAGACCTTATCTGGCCTTTCCATCTGCTCAGAATCCTCCTCTCTACATCACTTCTTGCTGCCCCTTCCACTTGTTGGACCTGAACCTACAGTACTCCTATTCTCCTGCCTCTGAGTCATCACTTTGCTTGTTTTCTTCAGAGCAGGTGGCTCTATGTATACTCTTACTGATTTGATAGCTGTCCACTCAAAGCACTGTTGCCAGGGAGCATTCACCCAAGGAACATGCATCACAGGTCAGGACCTTGTAGTCTTTAGTTCCAGTGCATGTGGCCTGGCTTGGTGGGAGGGGGACGGGGGAAGCTCCAGCCTTGGGCCTTCCACTCCACCTCTATACCCACACAGATGGTCATCTGTCCCTGCCTGGTGAGCTGCATGCTCATGGCTGTGGAGAATTCATTACCTTGAAGGCGGGACCCCAAAGTTTCTCCTGAAGAAAGCAGCAGGGGATGGCCAGGGCTTCTGCCTGCTCTGCAGTAAAGCAGAGTGGAAGTGACAAAGTTGCAACTGTGAAGAGAAGAAACAGCATGAGGGTCAGCTGAGGCAGGGACATGCTCCCCAGCCTCTGCCACTGCCAGTGTTTACGTAGGCTGGAATCTAAGGTGGGCAAGCTGAGTTTCTCTAAACACATTACCTAAATAAGTCATCAAAGATTGTCAGTGCTTCCTGAGGCTCATGCCTAAAAGCCAGGCTCACGTGTTTGACTTAGGAATGAGAACACGATCCCACCTTGTGGGAGCAAGGCTGAGAGTCAAAGTATTACAGGACAGAAGGAAAAGCTAAATACAGCTTAAACCAGGGCTTGTGCTTCGAATGCTGAAAGCTCATCAAAAATGCCCTCTCTCTGTCTCCTCAGTCTCGGCAGAAAGAGATAGCACCATGATCTGGCTCATCTGGGATGGGACCCATATCACTCTGACCACCCCTACCCATGACCTCATCTTGATGGCAACCTGACCTATCATTTACTATTCCCTGCTGCTGAGACCACTGACCAGTGACTGCAGGAAGGCAGTCTGCATCTTGGGAGGAAGTATCAACAGTGCTCAGCCACACAATCAGAAAGCAGATGTCCATCTCTAAGGAGGAGTGGCCCTGTGTAGGTCACTGTTTGAAAGCAAATGAGGCCAGGCTCGGTGGCTCAGCCTGTAATCCCAGCACTTTGGGAGGCCGAGGCGAGTGGACTGCCTGAGCTCGTGGGTTCAAGACCAGCCTAGGCAACTTGGCGAGATCTCGTCTCTACAATAAAAAAATAAAAAATTAATTGGGCGTGGTAGTGTATGCCTATAGTTCTGGTTACTTGGAAGGCTGAGGCAGAAGGATCGCTGGAGCCCAGCAGGTCGACGCTGGGGTGGCCGTGAGTGTGCCATGACACTCCAGCCTGGGCAACAAAGTGAGACTCCAACTCAAAAAAAAAGAAAGCCAGCTGGGTTCGGTGGCTCAGCCTGTAATCACGCGCCTTTGGGAGGCTGAGGTGGGTGGATTGCCTGAGCCCGCGGGTTCGAGA